AAAAAGGCTTGGGGAAGGGTGCTCTCAGGGAGGACCCAGGCTAACCAGAGGCAGGAATTGCACAGCATACTCTTGGGATGGGAAGGAGAGCCAGTGGGAAAGAGAAATGAGAAATAAGCTTGGCATTTCCACTTGGGCTCAACCGCTGGAGTGGCTGTTAGTAAGGACGCGATCATTTCACCCACGCTCCTGGCTCCAGCCTCCTTCTGCTCTAACAGCTACGTCGTTCTCTAGGATGCTTACCATGCATTCTGTCAAAGAGCACCTCTCTGGCTTATGATTCTCACCCCTCTGACTCTCTGTCCCCTTTGCACCCACATGGATGAGTTCATTCCCGGGAGCCATGTTTGTGCAGCGGTTCAATTCTAGTGTCAGTCGACTGAGGCTGTGGATGGCTTGTTCTTGCTAGAACAGAGATGCCACCCTAGGAATACGGAATTGAGACTGATAAAAACGGCAAGCAATAGGATATATTGGAGTTTATAAGGAAGCCATTTGGTGTAAAGCTGATTTAGCCTGACCTTATTTTTTTTCCCAAAAGGGCCTGACATGGTGGCTGTTGAGCATGCATTGTATATCTGCTTTAAGAATTTGCTCTGTCCCAAAGGCAAGAACAAATGGCCTAAAGATAAAGGTGCAGCTTCCCCCACATTGACATTTCCTAAAGGATAAGCATCTCTTCCTAGGCTGGGAACTGATTGCTGCACTCACCTGTGACCACCCAGCTCGAGACAACAGACCTGCTGCCACCCTGCTGTGTCCACCAGGACAGCAGACCTACTACCTGCTGTGTCCATCAACCTCTGTGCCAACAGAGCAGCCTTGTAACTGTTGTAAAAGGGACATTTCAATCATGTGTGATGCATGTTCCTGAGGGTGTATAACCACTGTGTGCACCCCACTTCTTTGGTGCCTTTCCTTCCTTGGGGAAGGAAGGCCCTGGGCTATATGGTCCTCACGTTTGGCTCACCCCAATTTTGATCTATAGATTGGTGATTGATTATCTGCATCAACAAGACAAAAAGGGATTGAGCCAATCTATCTCATTCTTCATGGAACAGGAACTCTGACACGTGATCCTGGAGCCATGTTGTGTCTGCCATACGGAACCGGCAGCTGAGACATCTGTTCTTCCCAGGAAGAGGAAGGGGCAGCCACACAGAGAGGAGCAGAGCTGTGCAATGAGCCCTCGCTGCTCCCAAGGGCTGTCTGCTCTCACCTCCACTGCTTACCCAGCCGTGCTCCTGCTCTTGGATTCTAAGACACCTGCCTCTTTACAGTCAGTCTCCTCTTCCTGCTTGAGCCAGTTCCTATTACTGGAAACCCTAAGAGTCCTAACATAGTGATGAGTAGACAGGTTTGCTGAAGTCCTGCTGTCCTTTCCTTTGAAACACGCTCTTCCAACGTGCGCCCCAGGGACAAGCCTTCCCTCACTGGTCTTTGCTGACACCAGGGTGAGTATGTTGGTGCTCCACGCACCTGAGTGTTGCAGGCTCCACAAGCCCGCTGGCCCCTCCCCGACACCCTTCCCAGCTTCCTTAGATTTCTCTTCACTTTGTGTCCTTGAATGGAATGCTAGCAAAGAGACACCGGGAGGCTGGGAGTATAATTTAAATATGCCTGAGGCTTAGGAACAGATACTGGGCTCATTAGCCCAAACCTCCCAGGGTCTGTGAAGCAAGGGGCTGGGAAACGAGATCATCTATTCAGACCCTATTGAGGTGGGACATCTATTCACACCCTATTGAGGTGGGACATCTATTCACACCCTATTGAGGTGGAACATCTATTCAGGCCCTATTGAGGTGGGACATCTATTCAGGCCCTATTGAGGTGGGACATCTATTCACACCCTATTGAGGTGGGACTCCTCTGTGCAGCCTGAGTTGTTCTGGAGGCCGCACGAGGGATAAGGCCACCCCCTGCTTCCAGGACCTCGACACTCCAGTACCAGCTGTGCCCCCTCCCCTGTTCCCTGTGGCCTCGGCGGGATGAACATAAAGCCACCGCTGCAGAAACGACAGCTTGAAGAGGTCACTACTCTGACCAGAAAGTCACAACCTGGAATCTTCAGAGGGAAGCCCCTTCCTGCCGACGGGACTGAGCATGGAAAGTCGGTGGAGCGGCATGAAGCTTAGAAGCCTTGCAGGGACTCGTAGGAGATAACCAAGCCCCAAACCCTCTAGCTGACACCTGTCAACGCAGCCACCGGTTTGCCCAACAATTAAACTAAAAATGATCTGACGCCCCAGCACAGCATGCCCGCCTGGCTCCGATGTGCAGACAGCACTGGAACAGACTGTGGCTGGACTTCCAGTGACGCGAGGTCCAAGGATGTCAGGAGGGATGCTGAGGCTGGAGTGTGAGGACTGGCGCTTGGCTGATGGGTTAAGGCCTCATCTCTCTGTAACAGCCATTTACTCTACCTCTTTGGAAGGAGCGTGCAAAGGGAGTAAGGTGTGGTGTTGGCTTCTTTCTGATGATATCTGGTAATTATGCTTCTCGCGTATCTTATTTGCATCACTGATGGATCTTGTTCACATTTTTTTGGAACCCTTACTAGACCAGGAGGTGCTGGAGGGCAAGAATCATGTCTTCATCTTTGTCCATCTCTCTATCTCAAGGACCTGACAAGGCCTGGCAATTTAGAAAGCTCTCAATAAAATATTTACTAAAGAAATGAATAAATGAACAACTGAAAAAACAGCTACAACCCAACCCCATGAGGAGGACCTGGGAAAGCTTCTGAAAGGACGTGAGGGTTGGTCTGAGTCTTCAAGGCGTCGTCGGAGTTGGTGAACCAGGAAAGTGGAGAGAGGAGACTGAATGTTCCAGGCATTTGAAATTCCCATCAAGGGAATTAAAAATGGTTCAATATGGCATGGGGCGAGAGGAAGAGGATGAAGCTGAAAAGAGGCGCAGGGCCAGAAGGACCTCACGCATTCGGCTACAGAGTTTGAATTTTGTGTTAGAGGTGGTGGGAATCATGAGAAGATTTTCAGTGAGGGAGGAACATGAAGTTTTCCTATAGAAAGCTTTTGGGCAGCAACATGGATGGTAACTGATGGCGGGGATGGAGACGGGGTTGAGATGGGACTTCAGAGATCAGCCCAGAGCCCTCCAGTCGCTGATTCAGAGAAGGGCCGAGAAAGGTCTGACCTGTGGCTGGAAAGGCCTGTGTCTGTCCTCTTCCCCCCACCACCGCCAACACCTCACATCCTCCCTCAGGAGCTGGGCGCGGGGAGGCTGAGTTGCAACAGAAAATGCTACCACAAGAGTGCGTCACAAACACTTTGATCTTAGTTGGGCCCCCCGGAGAGGGAAAGTGGCATTTTCCAGAAGGTCCATGGGCAGAACCTTCTTCGACACCAAACCAGAACTGAGTGACTCTCTGATGCTACGTCTTCGGGCCACCCCACTTCTCTCAGCAGTTACTGTGCCCATCTGCCTTTTTCAGCAAGGGAATAAAAAAGAAGAGGCAAAGGGAAAAGGGAACAAAGGAGAAGAGGAAGGTGATAAAGCAGCGAGGCAGATGGCGAGGACCTTTGTTCGTCTCATTCGTGAACAAGGAAGAAGTAAAGCTGTAGCCAGAAGAGCAGGAGCCCCGTCACCAGGACTCAGATCTCACACAGGCGATTCAGGGCAGGTGGAGAAATGTCCATGGATATTTGCTCAGCTTATTTATGGACAAGGACCAGCTCTCCCTTCACTCTCCAGCACGTACCTGACGGGAGTTAGAGGGAACAAGTCCCTCCCCCAGGATCACGGTTCTCCACGTTGGCTATGCATCAAATTAACTGACAATTAAGGAAAAATCTGATGCCTGGCCCGTTCCCCGAGAGTCTCACTTAGTTGATCTAGGATGTGCTTTGGAACTGGTCCTTCTGTAGAATGTCTTGGGTGATTTGAATGTACAGATGGGCTGAGAACCATGCTTTAGACCAGGGGTCAGCAAAGCTTTTCTCTCAAAGGCCAGAGAGTGAACATTTCAGGCTTTCTGGGCCACACGGTCATGCTGTAGTGTGAAAGTGCCATAGACAGTAAGTAAACGAGTGTGTTCTAATAAAGCTTTATTTACAAAAAAGGCGGTGGGCTGGATTTGGCTCCTGAGCTATGATCCGTCGACCTTCTCTAGGAGCACACTCCAAAGCATGCTGGGTTAGGTGTGGACAAAATAGCAAAAATACTCAAGTCTGAAAAAGGCATCTGGAGGAATGTTCTAATTTTATTTTAATAAAATGAGAGATGTTTCTAACTTCCATTTCCTAAAATGCTTGGCTCTGCTGGGAAAGTGAGATTTTGATAGTTAACTAAAATTTACTTGTCAACAGGAGCTGTCTGCTAATAATGACACTGTGTAGAGCAACTTTACATTTAAAATCTGTCAACAAAAGGTTCGGATTTAAAGTCTAGGTTCAATGAGAGTTAGGCCCAGCTTAAGGCAAAGCCGTCAGGTGGGATCCGGGGAGCGAGAGAAGAAAGAAGCAGGAACCTCCATGCTGTCTGACGTCTTAGGGAGACCACGTGTGGCTTTTATCTTTTGAAATAAAAAATCCAGTACGATGTAAAGAGGAAAAAAGTAATAATCTGCAATGGTGAATAGAAAGACCAGATGTGAAAGACAGACACTTAAACTTAGAACCTAAATCAGGACAGAAAAAATTAAAACCCAAGTGAAGCAGGGTGTTTACAAGGTCAGAGAGGCCAGCTGGTAGGCTGCTGCATTTACGTGTTCTCCAGTTTCCTAGAACTAAGCCATGAGCCTGTGTTTCGTTTTGAATTCTACACGAACGCCAGTTTTAATTCATACTACCATCTTATTCTGGAGAAATCTAGAGAAGACAAAGAAACAAAAAGAGCTTTTGCCTAACCATTAAGTTTCTCTCCCATTGTCCCCGGTTGCATCACTGTCTACAGAAGATCAGTCAAATGATAGAGGCTCCGAATCACGCTCCTCCTATCCACGGCTGGCCGGGCTGTGTGGATCGTGCCGCCCTCACCTTTATCCTGTCGATGTTGGCTTCCATCTTCAGCTGTTCCACCAGCTTCCTGGCTTGTGCTATGCTGGCAGTGTTGTTGCTGGCCATTGGAGAGCTGGGGGAGATTTTCAGATACCCTAGGAAAGAAAACAAGGAAGAGGCATGTGTCAGAGAGCTCACAAGCTGCCAAACACGCAGGTTCATCACAAGGGGGGGTCTCAGAAGAGCGGCTGTAGTCAGGCCGGGCCCCTCCAGCCCTCCACACCCCGACCCAGCTCCACATCTCGCCGGCAGGCAGACCAGAAGGTGAGCTTTTCTTTTCTACCTCCCCCACCCTCTGCCCTTCCATCTCTTCTTCAGGGAAGAAAAATAAGGACTGTTGACCAAATCAGGTGGAATAAGATGTGCTGCCACAAGAAGAAAGCAAGTTATTAAACTCATCTTAATTTATGAAACAAGTTCAAAATGGTAAGGGCGACAGTAGGCGTGACTACTGCTGTTATTTATTGGTGGTACTGCTGTCAGGTGCTGTGCTCAGTGCCTTGAGAGGATGGGAGGGAAGGAGAGCAGACAGAGGGATGGTAAAGTACGTAATTGTTCAGGACTCATGATGCCAGGTCCACAACATTCTCTCGATGGCTCAGATGCCAGCTTTCTGGTTAACTGGGGCCCGTTAGACCGCAGAGACGCTGCAACAGGAGAGTGGCTTGTCAGTGTCGTTTATCCAGCACTCAGACAGTCATTTCTCTCTGCTCCATTTGACGTAGAGTTTGGTTTACAACTACTCCCTTGACTCACAGTTCTCGGGGACCACATCTGTCACACCAAGGGAGGAGGATAGCCATGTCTAAATTGCTCATCACGTCAACGAGTCCACCTGCGTTATTCTAGAGTAGGTACAAGAGACTCGCTGCTTTACAAATACAGAAATGGGGCATCAATGTTAGGGAGTGGACTGCGAGATGGTCTCTAGGCCTCTGGCTCGGCCGGAGCTCCTCCCCACCCGTGCCCCGCCCTCCTCCAGCTCTAGCCCAGTTTCATCTCTCTTATTCTTTCCTGGCCCACCCTCTCACTTTATTCTCGTTGCTCATCTTGTACAGGATCCTACTTTACTTTTGGCCCGCGTCTCCCATATTCTGATCAGGTCTCGCTCCATGTCAAGGTGCCATATGCTGTCTCAGGGCCGTCTGTGTCAACGTGCCCCCGAAGGTCACTGACACCCAGCAGTGAAGCAATGTCTGTGAGCTACAATTTAACTAGAGTGTGTGACCAAGAAGCATCGAATGAGAAGCATTAAAACACTGCTTCAGTCAACACTAGAACACATTACACAAAACCGTGACTTCTGCCAGCTTTGCGGAATACCTTTATCTAGGGGTAAAGTAGGGTCAGGCCACCATCTCAAAAAGGAAAGAGACACACAGAAAACCAGGGAAGGAAGAATAACGCATAAGTTTAATGCACAGATTTTTACTCACCCACTAAAATCAAGAAACAACTTTTATTTCAATTACCAAAAATGTAAAGTCTATAAATTATCTGGTGTGGCTCTTATTTCTTGGCATCTAGTTCTTCAAGACAAAAGAAGAAATTATGTATGACTTCCTCTAAACAAAGAGGCTCCTTCATAGAGAGTGTTATTTTATAAAGAATACTGCAAAATAAGCCACCCCCCACCCCAGCATTCACAGTATAAATTGGAAGATAATTAACTGTCCCCTCAACTTATTTTCAAAGGGTTTGGAGACAACAAAATGGGAAGAAAGACTGAAGAACTTTTGAAGCCACAAAGATTCTGAACTCTACTCTCCTTTCCTTAGAGATGAGAGAGGGATTTTGCATGTACAAACGAAAAATAAAAGGAGGCTTTAACCCCAGCAAGGTAGGGACACCATCATCTCAGCCCCACAGGGAAATCCCTCTCCCCAAATCAGACACTCGTCTACCAGCCTCACAACTCTCCTCAAGGCCAAGATGGAGCATCGACTTGCCCAGCAGGGCAGCCTAACCCCACTTCCAGCTGAGGTTGGCGCAGCTGCCACGTACAAGCGCCTGAACACTGCTCTGTGTTGCTAACATTTCTTCCCAACAGGAACCTCTCTCACTAGAACAGAGACCATCGCAGAATCACCGAATCCTCACGGGCCTGAGGGAGGAGGGGGTCTGGCCAGCTGTTCTGCCCTGAATCTAAACCGGGTGGCGTAGTGACACGCAGCAGAGACCACGGCCTGCCTCAAATACCCCTTCTCCTCCTCTTCATTAGTAAAGATGACTTCTGCCTTTTTAACAGAGACTCCATGAACCCTGAATTTTATCCGGGCATATTGTGCTGAAAGATGCATTCCCCAGCCTCCCGGCAGCTCAGTATAATTATACGACTAAGTTCTGACCAATGAGATAGAAGCAGAGCATCCTCGAAGGGAGGGGGGTGCCATTTGCCCCACCTGCCTCCAGCTACTGGCTCAGCAGGCAGCGTGTTGACCACAGAGCTCCATCTTGAAGCTCTAGCCTTCTCTCAAAGGGGAGCTGGAAGCATCTTGGTCCTTGCTGAGACCGTGGAGCCACCACGCCAGCTGTGAACTGGCTCCCATCTATGCGAAGAGAAATAAGCACCTATCTTGTCTACACCACCAGCATTAAGGGTTTCTGTGCCCTTGAGCAGCAGATCTGCCATTAACTGATTACAGGACCCATTGTTTTCCCTCGAGCATCTGTCGGTTCACGGTCCCTGGGGAAGCTGTGCTGTGCTGGGGAGAAGCGTACGGGCTGCTGTAACACGTTGCTAACTTGAACAACAGAACTCATCATCCTCGCGTCTGAGGTCAGCAGTCTGCAGGGGTCTCGCTGGCTGAACTCGGGCATTGGCAGGGCTGTGTCCCCTCCAGGAGCTCTGAGGAGGACCTGTTTCCTGTCCTCTCCCGGCTGCTCAAGGCGGCCTGCGCACCTTGGCTCCTGGCTTTCCCTTCACCTTCAAAGCCAACAAAGGTGAGTAGAGTCCTTCTCACATGGCCTCACCCTGATCTCTTGGGCGGTCACACCTCCCTCTGACCCTCCCAGCCCGTCTTCTACTGTGAAGATGCCTTGTAATCACACGGCCCTCCAGACGATCCAGGACAACCTCCTCTCTTCAGGTCAGCTGATTGACAACGCGGAGTGCCCTTTGCCATGTAACACAGCATGTTCGCAGGCGCCAGGAATGGGGACACGGACATCTTTGGGGGTCTTATCCTACCCACCATGGAGGAGACCTCTGTGCAGGCAGAGAAGGGAGGTGGGGAGGTGGGGGGGGGGTTGATGGGAAAGTGGAGAGGGGGCAGGGTGCAGGTCTAGAAAGCTGGGGAGAGAGCACATTTGAAACCGAAATGGGCTTCAGAGGAAAGGTGAACATGGGCTTCGGTTTGTGCCCCTAGTTTTAGGAAGATGCGTCCTGAAGCTCTTGTTTCACCACAGGACCCAACAGTCTAAAGCGGCTTTTAGAATCACTTAGTGCATTTTCCTCTTTTTCGCATCGAGCTGCTTTCCCATAAAAACAAGAAAGAAAACCCCCTCCTGGAGGCTGGAGGAATGTGGAGTCCTGGACCAGGGTTCCAAGGAGGGAGGTGTTTTCCTAAAAAGTGATGGTGGGAAATAAGAAAAAGCTAGACTGTCTTCTAAGTTTGAGGTTTTGGGACAACGCATCACACACGTTCAAACACACACACACGCACTCTTTTCATCCTACAGAACTGAAACTTTTTACCCATTAAACAACAACTCCCATTCTTTCCTCCCCTAGTCCCAGAAACCACCATCCTCCCCTCTGTGTCTGATTCTGATGACTCTAGGGACCTCAGAGAAGGGAAGTCTTACAGCACTTGTCTTTATGTGACTGGCTTATTCACTGGGTGTAATTGTCCTCAAGGTTCATCCATGTTGTAGCAGGTGCCAGAATTTCCTTCCTCTTTAAGGCTGAATAATACTCCCTTGTATGTATACATACATTTTGCATATCCGTCCGTCTGCCGATGGACACTTTGCTTGCTTCCACATTTTAGCTACTGTGAATAACCCTGCTATGAACCCAGGTGTAAAACATCTCTTCAAGATCCTGCTTTCAATTCTTCTGGGTCTATACCCAGAATTGGAATTTCTGGATCATATGGCTTTCTATTTTTAATTTTTTGAGGAACAGCAATACTGTTTTTCACAGCAGCTGTGCCATTCTACGTTCTCACCAAAAGTGCAGAAGGGTTCCAATTTCTCCTCATCTTTACAAACACTTAGTATTTTCTGGGTTTTTTTTGCTGAGGAAGAGTTGCCCTGAGCAAACACCCGGTGCCAATCTTCCTCTTCTTTGCATCTGTGAGCCAGCACCACAGCATGGCCACAGTGTAGGTCCATGCTTGGGAACTGACCCGGGCTGCTGAATTGGAGCATGCCAGCTTAACCACTAGGCCATGTGGCTGCCCTATTTTATGTTTTTTTTATAGTAGCCATCCTCATGGATGTGAGGTGGTATCTTATTCTGGTTTTGATTTGCATTTCCCTAGTGATTGATGACGCTGAACATCTTTACATGTGCTTATTGGTCATGTGTATTTCTATTCAAGTCTTTTGTCCATTTTTATTTATTTATTTATTTATTTTTGCTGAGGAAGATCGTTGCTGAGCTCACATCCTTGCCCATCTTCCTCTATTTTGTATGTGGGACGCCACCACAGCATGGCTTGATGAGTGGTGTGTAGGTCTGTGCCAAGGATCCACACCCGAGAACCCCAGACCACTGAAGTGGAGTGTGTGAACCTAACCATATGCCACCCAGCTGGCCCGCTCTCATGCCCATTTTTCAATCAGATTTTTTGTTGTTGTTGAGTTTAGGAATTCTCTATATATTCTGGATATTAATTCTTTATCAGATAAGTGGTTTGCAGATATTTTCTGTGGGTTGGCTTTTCACTTTTTTGATAGTGTGCTTTGATACACAAAATTTATACATTTTGTGAAGTCCTATTTGTCTATTTTTCCTTTTGCAGCCTGAGCCTTTGGTGTCACATCCAAGAAATCATTGCCAAATTCAGCGTCATGAAGCTTTTCCCTATGTCTTCTTCTGAGAGTTTTAAAGTTGTAGCTCTTACATTTATGTCTTTTACCCATTTTA